TTTTTCTATTCAAACATTTTCAAACATTTCTGTGAATTGCTTCAATACTTAATTTTTCCATTCAAACATTTCAATCCCTCTAATACTTATAATTAATGTTATTATTACTTTCAACTTTGCGAAGCCAAAGCCATTTAACTTTCGATAACGTTCGTTTGATTTTTCTATTCAAACATTTTCAAACATTTCTGTGAATTGCTTCAATACTTAATTTTTCCATTCAAACATTTCAATCCCTCTAATACTTGCAATTAATGTTATTATTATTTTCAACTTTGCGAAGCCAGAGCCATTTAACTTTTGATAGCGTTCGTCCGATTTTTCTATTCAAACATTTTCAAACATTTTTGTGAGTCCCTCCAACATTTAATTTTATTATTAATTTCAATTTCGTGAAACCAGAACCATTTAATTTCAAACATTTATAAACATTTCTATGAATCGTATATCTAATTTTCAGCACATTTAATTTTATTACTAATTATTCAAACAAACTTCATGAATTTTATAATCCGCGTTATGAGACGAAATAAACTCTCGATGTATTCACACATTCGCCGAACGAACATATGACGAAACCGTCCGATTTGTCATTTATTTCCAGTGACTCAATACTTAACTCGGTTCGAGTTAAATCATCGGTCACGTGTAGTTAGCCCCTTTAGCGTACAACAAAACCGCGTTTAGAGCGGGTGATTGGCGAGAGAAAGAAGCACCGATTTGCCAGAAAGGGGTCAGGAGTTTGACGATTGTCGCAGGCCAAGCGAAAACCATGCGTTATTGCGGTCAGGATAATGTACAGCTATCCTGCATTTCGAACGAATCCTCCTTTTATCGTGGCTCCGTTTCAGCTGCGTCCTTGCCCACGTCCAATGATGTGTCGTTGCGGCTTCGCACGATTTTCAATAGGGATTCGAGTGAAAGGATCGGAAAGTATATCGAGAGAACCAGGCGTCGGTTCGCCTGGGAAACCCTGCCATCTGTTCCCCTTCTCCTTTTTTTCTTTCTTCTTTTTTATGAGAGATTTCGTTCTTTGAGCTTTTTAGTGATAAGGAATTAGAAACTATACACTTGTACTCTCGAGTCGAGGAAAGTTCGGTAAAAATTTGGAATATTCTGATACTTAAAAGTCGAAATGTTATGACACCGAAGATCGAACATTCAATTATTGGAAATATCAAAATTCAAAGTGCTCGAATTGGAAATATTACTATATATATATATATATAAAACACATTAATGTGTTATTATATATTAATAATATTACTTCACATTATATATATATATATATATATATATATATATATATACATATAAGATAGCGAACTGTAAATTTTGTATCGAGACAAGAAGTGATTTTAGTGAAATTCGAACATTATTTCGCAGGTCATCGATGCAAATGGAAAATTATTTTCGTGTGACATACTCATTCCTTTCTCTCTCGCAAGGGCCGCTGTGATTTAACGTTACACAGGATTAAATTGATCGCGATGTAATGTTGCTTTGCCGCCAACTCGGTGTACACAGGAAAATAATTAGCCTTTGGAAAGCCGTGAAAGCTGTAATACGTCCCAATAACAGAATATAAACGAGCACGATTCCCCACGATTTTATTTCTATTTATTGATTAACGAGCTATCGCGTATCGCGATACGGAATGGGATTATCCTATCTTTTTGTCGAGCACGTCAGCCATAATTACGCGGACTATTTTTTTTTTTCCTTAGATTATCATTATCGTTATTTATCATTACCGATTAATTATCGAAACGCTTACACATTCAATTCGAAACGATCGCCCGTTTCAATCGATTTCTGGGCGTGATCATTTCGAGTGAAATTCACTCGATTGGTGAACGTTTCCGTACGATTTTCTTTTACGTTTGCAAACAAAGGAGCGAAAACAAGCGCGGAGTTAATTCTCGTTGATCGTTGGTCGACGCATCGAAATTGATTTCGAGTCCCATTCAATTTCGCGTCGCCGACGTAGATCAATTCGGGGATATACATATACCCCGAGGAGAAGGCCGAGGAAAATGCGTGCGAGATCTAACGCTTTTTCGTGATAACTTCTCCACATTATCTATCGCTCGGGCTCTAGACACTGGGTGTTTCTCGACTCGAATTTTCATTCCTACCGAAACTTGTTTCTGCCGATTTAGCACATACTGCTTTAATTTTCAAATACTCGATTCGAGCTTAGTCCTTAGGACTTCGTGGATATAACATGTATTTTATTTTAAAGATATATATCGTATTTGTTATAATATTTTATTTTAAAGATATATAATATCTTTTTAAAGTTATAACAGTTATAATATTTTAAAAATATTTTTAACATTTATCTTATTTTAAAGATATAACATCTTTTTAAAGTTATAACACTTTTTTTTATTTTAAAGATATATAATATTTGTTAATATTTTATTTTAAAGATATATTAAAGATATATAATATTTATATGTTATATACAACATATACATGTTATGATATTTTATATAATATCTTTTTAAAGTTATAACGCTTTTTTTGTTTTAAAGATATATAATATCTTTTTAAAATTATAACATTTTTTTTATTTTAAAGATATATAATATTTGTTATAATATTTTATTTTAAAGATGTATAATATTTGTTATAATATTTTATTTTAAAGATATACAATATTTGTTATAATATTTTATTTTAAAGATATATAATATTTGTCATAATGTTTTATAATATTTATATGTTATGTATAATATATATATGTTATGATTATATAATATCTTTTTAAGATTATAACATTTATTTTATTTTAAAGATATATAATATCTTTTTTTTATATATTTTATATATCTATTTTAGAGATACACAATATCTTTAATTTATAATCGAAGACACGTGATAAAACTTTGTGTCGCGAATGTCGTGAAGTTGATCCTACTCCAATGTTTCTCAGTCCATCGAATTGTGGAAAAGAATCGAGATCTGAAGAGGTTAGCGGAGGATCGAGCAAGAGATCGGTATGCAGCGTTTTAGCGGTGCGAACGATGACTCGCCGAGTATTCCGAGCGAGCATCTGCGATGACGAAATCGTTCGAGGCGCGTTTCGAATCTGCATTTCTCCGGCGTTCTGCCGTCTCTTTTCGCCGCGTAACCGGCTGCAATTTGCGCAAATACGAGACCGTTGCCACGGGGAAACAACCACGAATTTCTGCACTGCGTTTTCGCTCAGGCAATACAAACGTTGCCAGATCACGTGTACAGATTTCGTGCATTCCTATGTGAATTTTACTTCCGCACGCAACAACAACAACTTTCACGCTGAAATTGAAAAAAATCTTTAATTTTTATCTGTTTGAAGAAGTTTGAAGTGAAGTCGTAACACAGAGATAGATCTTCGTAGCCGACTGTAAAAATATTTCACGGTTCGTTGATCCGGCTTTTTTCTTCCCTCGAAGAAGGAAGCACAGTTGCTGGACGAGAAGAAACCTGCAACTGCAGTATGCAGAAATCACGTTGGAAGAAGATTGATCTCGTTAAACCGTCCAACATCTGTTTCTCATCGAAATTTCCTCCGTCTTCGTCTCCGTCGTCGGTCAATGAACAACTGTACGTTGTCCCCGTTTGTAGAATCACCCTGTAGATGTTCGAGGAGCCTGCGTGGAAGCAAATTGCATGCAGTTTGGTGGAAGCAAAATAGTGGTTGTAAATTGAAACATTATGCCATTGCATCGACTGAAACTGCCGAAAAATTGCATTGAAACAGCGTAGAAGACATTCGTCAAAGTAAAAATCCACCGTGTTTTTAAAGTAGAACTTCTTCGACGTCTACAAAAGAAATACATCGAAGAACGTTCAAGCTTTTCACCTCCTTACGTTCAAATGTTTCAAATCTAGCCAGCTCTAACAGGACGTAAACTCTGACCATTCGATGACTCGGCTATGGCTTCCATCGAACATGTCGAACGTGACTGCGGGAAATGCGGAAGAAAAATTGCGCGAGTTGAACGATCCGTCGTTGGAGCATCGCGTTCCTCTCGCGAAACAGGAGCGAAAGAGTGCATACGTCGGGCAATGCGTGTCGAATCAGACGATGGACTGAACAAGCAAAGCGGAACACGTGTGAGCCGTGAGATTCATTCATTCGTCTGGTGCCCTCCCGTCCGGTCCTGCTCGCCCCTCGTCTTCATTTCCCTTGCTCTTTATCTTCCCCCTTTCTCGCGTCTGTCCATCGCGTTCATTTAATTTTTATCAGCTCGTATACGTGTATGAGCAACGGAGCAACGTACGTTGTCTGCTAGGGACGACCTCCTTCGTCCGAACGATCGTTTGGACGTTCACTGAAAAAAAAAAAAAAAGTGCCAGAAGAACATAGTATTTTCGCGTAATTTTCAAATCGAAAACGAACCTTGGGATTTTATGATTTTTTTGTAATATTATTTTGTTATAAAATTTTGTTGTAAAGTATTATTTTGTTTTATTTTATTCTTAATATTCATAATTCAGATAATAGAATCTTCCAGTCGCATGTGTATTTTATGACGCAATTGTTCATATATTAGCACTTCGATTTTCTGTTGTATAAAATATTATGACATT